ATATGGAACCATTGTGCATTATGAAAGAGGTCGTGAATTTTTGATTTTATGTTGGCTACAAACGTTTTCCAACAAGTGATTAGTTCTACCAACCATTGGCGGACTATCATTGAATCATTAACATCATTGTAAATTACAGCTCTGCATGCTTGTTCGGAGCTATTCGTGAATCCAAGTACTAAAAATTTTCTGTGTTCCGAAGTTCCGGGATAATGTGGTACGTTATAGTTACTTAACTTGGATTCGGAATATATGGCTAACCAAGAAGTCATAATAAATGATGGTAGGTCTTCATCCCGATCTATCTTTAATTTCGAAATTTTCTTCATTAAGATTTTTATCTTAACAACAATAGAAGTAACAAATCTTGAAGAATTCCAAAGACGGGCAATTGCTGAGAGGAGATGACGTTTGGTCCATTTTCTCCACATATGATTTATACCAAAAGGATAATTATCCGATAAAGGATTCCATTTTAATCTTAAATTCTTTGATAAATTGTCGGTTTTGAAATCGCTAAGGACATGTTTATATAGAATATCAGGATTTGAATTAAGCTCAAGTATACTAGGATGCTTAGATTCCTTTTTCTTCAGTTTCCAACTTGGAAAATGGTTTTTGTATTTGCCAAAGAATCAATACTTGTGGCCATATCATTGTCATAAGAACGTGAAGATTGTGGGATGTCTTCTAGTTGTGACATCTTATCTTTTTCTTCATACAGATCTGCGTTTGAAGCAATGCATGAATTAATCAAAGTGCTGGACATTTGAGATAAATCGTTTTCTAAAATTGTTTCGGCATGTTTTATTTTTGCATAAAGCATTTCTGACGCTCTCGCGAGGGTATATTCCGGAATATAGCTAGGATTTTCTGACTGTCTCAATATATTAATTTCATCGGAAAGGTGCATGCATTGCTCACGCGCATTCTCAAGAAGGCATAATTTTTTACGAAATTGTATCTTACTTGAAGAAGAGCTAATCTGCTGAGAAATGTCGTAAGTTTCTTGGATGCTTGAAAAATACATTTCCCTCTTAGCTATTAGCCGATCGATCTCTGCACCAACGTCAAGTTTAGGTGCCATCTTGGATTTTATTTGCTTAATATATTTAATAAATCCTAATCAAAATTAGGATCCCGGCGTCGAAGGACCAATGTTACGGATGGGGGTTAGTTAGACCCTTTCGGAATAGCTAATTGAATTTGATTCAATAACTATTCCGAGGATTTGACATTATTGAATATATTAAGTAAAATATTCGACGTTCTCTACGTGCTCGGCGGTCCAGTCGTATGGCGGCTTCGAGTTCGGATATCTCAGTTCGCTTTAAATTCGGATGCTGAGGAAGTAATGAACTCCAAACACAAATAAGGAACACTTGCACTGATTAAAAAGTATTTTATTTCATAAAGTAATAACTAATAATCGAAATATATCACAAAAAACTCATATGGAAAGTACAAGCAAAACGGTGTACGTGACCAGACAAGGCGCGAGCGCCTGTTCACCCGTCAGATCAGCTATTACATCCAAACCTTTGAGGATTGCCAGAGAAAAGGTGTTGTCTGATTATTACCAATATCAACTGGCGACATCTAACATGATTCTGGCGCGAACATAGCTATGTATTTTACGTTTGAATTATTTAATATATAAATGACAACACAAAAAACATAATAAGACTATAAAGATTTAATTTAATGAATAGTTCTTGCATATTTTGCAATATTGCTGCTACTATTATTTCTATCTCCCACATAAAAAAAACAACAAAATATAAGTGACGCTTATAATTTCTAATTTATAACTTTAAATTTTCACGCTGCATAACTCGAATAGTTAGAACGAAATACCGATAGCCCAATACTATCAATCACCATAAAAAATGAAAAACAATGTTCAGACATTAACGTATATCTTCAAGTTAAAAGAAACCTTTAAGTTAAAAACAATAAAAATTTGTTGAGAGATTGCCTATTACCATAAATGACCATTAGTCCAGTCATTTTAGCATTTCACCTCCGAATGTGAGATACCAGCTATAAGTTTGTAAATAGTTGTATATTGACACCCTAAATGTTGTCTCAAAACCTACATATGGTAGGGTGTGCGCAACTATTAAATTTCGGGGTCAAAGGTCACAAAAATCGCGGTTTTTCGCTTTTTTTGTAAATATCTCATTTTCTATGGGTTTTTTGCTATTTATGTTTATTATCAATATTGTAGAATACAAAATTCTCTACAAATTTTGTTTGAAAAAATTTTTCATTATAGTTGATGAACTATCGATAGATCAATGATTATAAATATTTGTCAATTTTTATTAACTATTATATTATATTTTATTATTTTTTCCTAACCTATCCACTTTTTATTCAGTATTAATTTATTTAACAACACTTACCTGCCCATGTAATTGCAGAATTGTTAATGAAAATATAAGAATTATATTTAAATTTAAACCCAATTAATATTAATAAATTCTTACATGATTAAAAAACAAATAAATTAAGAATTTATCTTTTTATTAAAAAATATCATTTGATACATTTATTTTTTTAAAGTAAAAAAATGAAATGAAGGGTACAAAAACTACAATTTATATAAAAAAAAAGTTCCATCTTCGTTAATGTCGCTCTGGTATGGTAGAGCATTGAAACAAGCTTGCCCATTACATTGGCCAAGCTAAAGAGCTTTGCAAGCCCGCTTTCCTGGTAAAATTGTCACGATAGGCTCCAGAAAATCGTTTCGCATTGCCCAACCCCATACCTTTGGTTCCAAATCATGCCATAACCAAGTTTGAACTTGATAATATACACATCGAAATGTTGGTGAGTAGCTGCACTTGTTGGTGGGATATTTGCAAGCTGAACAGGTTTATTAAGTTTTGTAGACTTGACGTAATGCATATAACGAAGATGATCGAGACTTTTCACGGATTTCGGAGCATTATAGACTGCCAATAAGGTTTGAGTTTCACTCTCTAATAATCTCTGGGGCAAACAATTTTCTTCCTCAAATACTTTAGCTAGTTGATCCAAATTTGTCAGTTTCTCAAAAACTTTTAAAAATGTTTTTTTCCCCTTTTTAAAAAGCCCAGAAGTTGTGTCACATCCACTTAATGCGTGCAGAAATAAAATATGTGTTTTGAAATGAGGATAATTATCAAAATTTTTAGTCGAGTATATCTCCGTTTTTACATTTCCTGTCCCAACTTTTTTAAAGAAAATTTCTTTTTCGTGAGACTGGGTACGCCCAATTAAAATGATGAGTAAATTGATATTTTGTCCTATTATAATTGCAGTTTTTCCAGACATTGATTCTTGAATTGCACTTTCAACAATAAGGACATCCGCATCATCTCTGGCTTGTTTAGTAGTTATAATTGCAGCTTTTAAATTTTCCATTAACATGTTAATGAGCTTATTTTTATTATTTTGATTTGATAAAAAAAAATTCTTGAGAAACTGGTACAACTATTGTTTTATCGAAACATACTTCATATGATTTTGAAAGTGCAGTTGTTCTCAGCTGCTCCATAGCTTTTAGGTTCTTACTGTGATCTGAATATCCGTCAAATACAACAATTATTTTGGATCTGTGATGCCTTTGTAAATAATTTATGTATTCATCAAAAATAACAGAAAAAGTATCTTCTCTGCTCCATACAACATGATGAGAAAGAAATCCGCCATCAATAATGAACGTCACATTATTTTCATTGAGAACAAAATCAATTATTGGGCTCATATTGTCATACAATGACAATTTTGTTGTTTTTCTCATGCCATTATTATCAAATAGAGCTGTTGTATACGGACTCAATTCATATTGAAGATATTCTTCAAGATCACTTTCAAATTGTTTGCTGACAGTAATTCTCTGGAAGAGTAATGATTAATGTGTTTTCTATTTAAAATTTTAAGAGTGTTTATGGGACAATAATCATATTATGATTTAAGTATTTTCCTTAATTATTTTTAATTTTAGGAAACGGTGATCAGTATTATTGAATAGATATAGATTTAAGGTTAATAGTTGATAGTTAATAAAAATTGACAAATATTTATAATCATTGATCTATCGATAGTTCATGAACTATATATGGCGCGATTTTGACCGAAGGCATCGGTTGACCTGAAAAGATGCCATGACCGCGCGCTCTCCGCCCTCTATCTCGAAAACGGTTCACCGTATGAAAAATTTTTTCAAACAAAATTTGTAGAGAATTTTGTATTCTACAATATTGATAATAAACATAAATAGCAAAAAACCCATAGGAAATGAGATATTTACAAAAAAAAAGCGAAAAACCGCGATTTTTGTGACCTTTGACCCCAAAATTTAATAGTTGCGCACACCCTACCATATGTAGGTTTTGAGACAACATTTAGGGTGTCAATATACAACTATTTACAAACTTACAGCTTGGTCTCGCATTCCGAGATTCTTGCCTAATTTAACCTAAAATGACTGGGCTACATAGACTTTTTGACCATTGACCATTTTGACCGTTTAGAAGAAGAAACTGTGACGTCACTTGCTGATTAAAATAAAACATATTACAATAATGTAACATAATACAAATAAAACATGACATTTAATCAATCGGGAGATTTCCACGTTTGTCAAATTGTAAAAATTATACATAAACAACAAATAATTATTTATTTTGAAAGTTATTTAATCCTGAAATCCTGATGATCAATTAATATTTTTGTTCTACTAAAGTGAAGTTTGTAAATTTATATTTTACCGCCTATACTCTCGCGGTTGGTATTAATATTTTCAACGTTATCCAACCTGATCTCATTCTTATGTGTAGTGAGAGTTAATTAGAAATGTCAAAGTGTCGAATTATTTTGTATTTATACAAAACTATTATAAATATGCATTATATTCATTATTTATTCAAAACATTTAAATTAATTTATACCTTAACTTTTTTAGGTATTTTAAATTAATTTACAATAAAATTTATTTAAAAACGTCGAAAATGTCTGAAGAAACAAATTCAAACACAACAATTAAAATCGAACCGCTAGATTATCTTCAAGTGAAACAAGAATTGGATGATTACGATAACAATTATCTAGAAAACGACCAAGTATATCTACAACGATTTTTGAAATCTGAGGTAATAATCGAGGAAGAAATAAAGCAAGAAACGTTTGATGAGCAAAATGAAGAAATCTTTAATTCAAATATTGTAGTGGGTAATGCAAGCAAATCGTTTGAAAGAGTTCCAGAAAAAAACACCCATAATTTGAAACGCCATGAATGTGAAATATGCAATAAAACATTAGCGACAAAACAAACATTAAATCAACATAAAATGATTCACACTGGGGAATATCCTTATAATTGTGAATTATGCAATAAAACATTTGCAACAAAGTCAAAATTAAACAGACATAGAATGATTCACACTGGAGAATGCCCTTATAAATGTGAGACATGCAATAAAAAATTTAAAGAAAAGCAAAAATTAAACCGACATAAAATGATTCACACTAGGGAACGCTCTTATGAATGTAAGACATGCAATAAAACATTCACAACAAGGCAAAACCTATACCTACATAATGTGATTCACACTGGAGAACGTCCTTACAATTGTGAAATATGCAATAAAGCATTTACATTGAAGCAAAGCTTAAGCCGACATGAAATTATTCACATTAGAGAATACCCTTATGAGTGTGAAATATGTAATAAAACATTCACAAGAAAGGGATACTTAAAGCTACATAAAATGATTCACACTGGAGAACATCCTTATAATTGTGAAATATGCAATAAAACATTCACAACAAAGCAAAATTTAAACCGACATAAAATGGTTCACACTAGAGAACATCCTTATAATTGTGAAATATGCAATAAAACATTCTCATCAAAGTACAGCTTGAACCGACATAAAATTATTCACACTGGAGAATAATACCCTTATACAGTGGTATAACGCACTTAACTCCTTCTGGAAGTAAGTTCTTTATGAGAAAAGTTCGCTTTACTAAGCGCGTTTTTCCACATAATACATAAAAATAAAATTAATTTCTTCTGCTTTGTGTGTGAATCTGTGTGAATTTTGCATTCATGACAAAGTCCTTAATGTCTGCACTAGAAATCAGTTGACAGGCTTTTCATATCTTTCGTTTTTTCAGTTTTCTCTCAAAATTTTCCCTAAATTTTCAAAGTGAGAAAGTGTATTATCTAATAATAATAAGTGCTTTAAGTGTGAGCTTTTTATCTAACAAGTATATTAACATACAAATGAATGAACATCAAATTGACATGAAATGACCCATACTGGATTATGATGTTATAATGTAAGAAAACTGATAAAGAAATTGGAATTTACAGTGAAATCATCCGATCTTATAATCCTTTTCATTTACTAAATATAGTGAATTCTTAATGCATAATTTGTAATTGTTTAATAAGATAAATATAAGTATAATAATTCATATTAAATATTGTTATTAAATTTGTATTTACCACTGTTGATTATAAATACATTTTTCGAATCTTTGTGAACTTAAATATTTGTTGTTTTTAGAGTAGAAATGCCCTTCATTTACTTCCCATAGGATAACTTATTGTAATTGCCAAAAAATCGAAATCGAAAATTTATGCATATCTTCATGTTTAAAGGGTTTCTGAACATTTTGGCATACTTCAGAAAAAAATGATGTGTGTTTACGTTTTCGGGCGCACGGATGAACCGATTTGAATGGTTCAAAAAACATTCGATTCCTATTGATAGTGAGATATGCTGATTAGTTTTTGGCAGAGGCAGGTCCAACCGTTCCGGAGATACTGAGCAAAGAGTTGACTTATTTGTTGGGGAAAAGTCGTGTTTAGTTTTTTGCAAAAAATGGCAGTTTTGAAAGAACTAAGCATCTGAATTAAATGATTTTAAAAAAATCTGCTTGTTTTGAAAAAATAATTGCTTTTGGAAAAACGAAATACTTCAAAATTTTTTTGTTTCCAAAAATTATTATTTTTTTTTTCAAGAAATGTTTTTTTCGAAACTAATTTAGATTTTGATTTTAATTCTGGCTAAAGTTCTAAAGCTCACTTATATACTTTTTTAATGAAATAATTTTAACTTTATAATTTAGTTTCGATATTTCTTATAATTATTCTACAATGTTACAGTATTTATAATAATCTATTTGAAAACATTTAATATTATTCAAACATTTTGTTACGGTATGGGAAGTTCCAGCAATTTGCATTATGGACGATGCCATACACCGCTAGTTATTGTTTTACTTCAATTTCTGCAATCTTTTTTAAACTTGTACAATTTTATTAATATAATATTGACATTTTTTAAAAACTACACAGTAAAATTTTTGCTCATGTTTCAGCTTACAATCCTGAATTGGTTTTGAAAAATTGATAACTTTTTGAAAGATATTAATTGGAAATTGTTCTGATTAGTTCTTGGTAAAGATTGGCTAGACCGTTTCTTCATAATTAAATGTTGAAATTTTTTGACTATAGAGATAATGACTTAGACAATAATGTTATATATATATATGACTATGATTCATGAATATAATATTCATGGATCTGCTATCTGATCTTAAAGTGCATAGTATTAAAATATTACGGCCATTTGATAAACAGTTTATTTTCAAAAATTCGTCAAAGTTCAAGAAAATGAGAAGCGCACTTTTGACGAGAGACAAAATTATACCTTTCATCGACATTTTTTCAAAAACGGCTGAACTGATTTCAAAACCTTAAAAGCCATTTTATTAAACTTGATAAGTACTCGCGTTGGTTAATTTTTTGATACAATCAATTTAGTCGTTTTTTTAGAATCAGTAGAAAAGTGTAAAATTATTCATTCAAGTTTTAGCTAAAAATTCTGAATAGATTTTAAAAATTCGAAAGGTAACAAACGGTCAAATGGCAAATAATTGGAAAAAATGAAAAAACGACAAAATACTCGATTTAGTATTTCATCTGCCTAGTAATTGAAATCTTATAATTTTTGTCGTTTCCGGGCCTTTTTTCTTTTAAATGACCATTGAGTTTCAATTAAATGATCCATACAGTTCTTTTTTGTAATTCAACAGTAATTTGCAAAAATATTTTCTACCCAGGTAATTTTTTGCATCTTGCCTCTTTTCTACATAGGTAAACTGTAACCATATTTGCAATTTGACTATGTGAAAATTTCTGGCCACTGCAGTATTCTACAAAAATAACTTAATCATTTAAATGAATATTCAATAGTTATTCGGGGTAAAAAGAGCTAGGAAATCACAGAAATTATAATGTTTTGTGTATCACGTAGAAGAATTACTATATACGACTTCTTGTCGTTTTTTTTAATTTTTTGCCCTTTGACCTCCAATTTTGACTTCAGGTTCGTTTTCAGTGGTAAAAACTGCACTGATTGTGAGGGTTGTGCAATCCTTTGGCGACTATGCCTGTTGTATTAAAAATTTCATAGTATTAAAATAATTAATTTTTTTAAGTCAATCACCACTAATTAACTTCTTGTAGGGTAAGTTATAGTAATCGCTTAAGAATCGAAAATGAAAGTGTTTTCATATCCTTACGTTTCAGATTTTCTGAGCATTTTGGCATGCCTTAGAAAAATGTATGTATGAATGTGCGTGTTTAGTATGTGTGTATGTATTGATACAATTTTTCGTCGACATTTTTGGGATCACCGATGATTCCGATCGGATCGGAGGATCAACCGATTTGAATTATTCAAAAATCATTCGATTCCTATTGATGGTGAGACGTGCTGATTAGTTTTTGGTTGGTCCATTTGTTTCGGAATAGAATAGAATCTCTATGTTTGCTAGATCGGAGCATCCGATTAGAATGATTCATTAAACTTTTCACTTGTATTGACATAATTAAGAATTGATTTAGTGTTTGCAAAGACAGGTCCGGTGGTTTCGGAGATCCATTTGGCGGTCGCAAATCAGATATTTTGTAATTTGAATCAACCGATATGAATGGGTATTAAAAACTTTCCATATTCAACCTTTTCAAATGTTTTCAATATTTAAAAAATATTAAAAAAATCAAAATTCTAAAAAAAAAAGTTATTTTTATTTTTTGAGCTTTTAAAAATTATCAATTACGCTACGGGTTCCAGCCACCACTAATTAGGTCCCCGAAGGAGTTTTCATCCAAAAACCCGATTTGCTAATTTTATGTTTTCTCGACGTTTCAAGCATTCCGAATCGAATGAGACCTAATTTGAAAATACTATGCGCGAGTTTGTATGTTTGTGTTAACAGATTTTTGACCTTTTGACGACGTTTTCTCAAAAACGGCTGGGCTGATTTCAAAAATTTAAAAGCCGCTCGATGAAACTCAATAAAGACTTGTGTTTCTCAGTTGCGAGCGACGATCGGCGAATTTTTTGTAAATAGCAAAAAAGTAAAAAAAATTGTCCATTTGAAAAATTCAATAGATACTATTGACTTGAACTATTGAACTATTGATAATATCTATTGAACTATTCAATAGATATTATCAGGGAGTCGTGACGATTGGCTAAGCTGCTTCTTCGTAATTGACCGCTGAAAGAATTTTATTTTTGAAGAAACTTTTTATATTGACAGATATCATGGTCCTAAAAAGCATACTAAAATTAGACCGCCATACGGAAAGTACTTTATTTTTAAAAATGCATCAAGCTTTGAAAAATATTACAGTCAAAATTACTTTTTGATGTGATAAGTTAAACTTTGTGAATTCATTAAAATTTCAAATAATAAATTCCAATTTCAGGACATATAAACACGTGTCTGTCTTCATTATGATTAATATAATTACAGGAAATTCAAATGCGTTTGAGAAAACTCAATTTAAAATCGCAATGTTTAGATTTAATTGAAAGCAAAAACTTTATTTTCTAAATAAAGAGATAAAAATTTTAATTAAATATCTAAATTCCAACTTCGGTTTATTAAGTCAGTTATAACACATTTTCAGAAGTTCATGGAACTTGCATTAAGTAACTTAATTTCAATGAACACATTAGTAATAAAATAATTAAATTAAAAATTTTTATATACATATTATACCCATTGCTAAATTATAACAGTTTTATTAATATTGAAATTAAAAAAAAGAATTTATATGGCAATAATTAGATCCGCAATGATATATGCTTCCCCTATTTGGTGTATGACAAACAAACATAATATTAAGAAACTGCAATCAGTACAAAATGTTTCATTAAGATTTGTTATAGGTCAAGCAAGGAATCCAATAAATATGCATTATATTAGCACAAAATTCTTACATGATTCCACTAATGTACCATTAGTGAGAGATTTTATAAAAATTATCTCTGAAAGATTTTATACTAATTGTTTATTTAACTTAAATCCTAATATATGTAATATTGGATCGAATGACAATACATATTGGTACAATAAGTACAAGCTACCATCATCAATAAAAAGATAATCAAGTATAAAATATGACAGGGATCAAATTACTCTTAAACTGTTCCTAAAGCATATGTTATTAGTCTTTTGACTATTTTCCAATCATATATGTAATATGTATTCTTTTGTTATTATTATTGTAAATATGGTTTTTAGTGATTATTTTCACCATGATTAAAAATTTATTTATAAGTTAGTATTAAATATAAGTTTATGTATTTATATCTAAGGATAGTTATACAATTATACATGATTATATAAATTGT